CACCACCACCACTACGACTACTACTGCTAATATTACTACTACTACTACTACCACTGCTACTACGACCAATTACTACTACTACGACTAATACAACTACTATTATTGCTATCACTATTACTACTACTACGACGACTACTACTACTACTACTACTACTACGACTACTACCACGACTACTACTACGACTACTTTTACTACTACTACTACTACAACTACTACTACTACTACTACTACTACTACTACTACTAGTACTACTACTACTACTACTACTACTACTACTTCTACTACCACTATTACTACTACCACTACTACTACTACTACGGGTACCACTAATACCACTACTGCTATTACTACTACTACGACGACTACTACTACTTGTACTTCTACGACTACTACTTAAACTACTCTCACTACTACTACTACTACTACAACTACTACTACTACTACGACTACCACTACTACGACTACTAGTAGTAGTAGTAGTAGTAGTACTACTACTACTACTATCACGATTACTACTACTACTACTACTACGACTACTACTACTACTACTACTACTACTAGTACTAGTACTATTACTATTACTCCTATTACTACTACGACTACGACTACGACTACTACTACGACTACTACTACTACTACTACTACTGCCAATACTTCGGCTACCACCATTACAACTACGACTACGACTACTGCTACTACGACTACTACTACCGCCACCACCACTATTATTTTTACTACGACTACTACTACGACTACTACTACTACTACTACTACTACTACTACGATTTCGACTACTACTTCTACGAATACTAGTGCTACTACTATTGGTACTACTACCACTACCACTACGACCTATTACCACAACTACTACTACTACTACTACTACTACTACTACTACTACTACGACTGCGACTGCGAGTACGACTACTACTACTACTACTACTACTACTACTACTACTACTACTACTACTACTGTCACTAGTACTACTACTACTACGACTACGGCTACGACTACGACTACGACTACGATTATGACTACTACTATTACTACTACGACTACTACGACTACTACGACTACTACTACTACTACTACTACTACTACTACTACTACTACCACCACTACTACTACTACTACTACTACTACCATTACGACTACTGCTGCTACTGCTACTGCTACGTTTACTACTACGTTTACTACTACTACTACTACTACTACTACTACTACTACTACTACTAGTAGGAGGATCCATTTTGCATGGTGTAGGATCGATGCGATTCCAATTCGGTGCGGTTTTGCTTACGCTTCGGTGCCCTCTTCCTCATCTTAACATAGTGCTCGTGAGCAGACCAAAACTGAAACCAAATCCAACTCTGGCACGCATGTTGGCTTCCAGAACCTCTCCGTTGACATAAGGGGTGTCACTTGGTCTTCACAGTCGTTTGGGGCTTCTCTACACTCAAAATCTTATCGTGCGGCTACCCCAAGCAGGTTGGGATCGGGCCCCGTTTGCTTTTCGCACTGGTTGGGATTGGTCCCAGTTGGTTGGGATTGGGCCCAGTTGGTTGGGATTCGGCCCACATGCGGGGTCGGGAGGGGGGGGGTTTGGGGGGGAGGGGGATTTCACCACCCACCAAACCACCCCAACCCAACCCGAAGGCTCAGATCGACCTTCGGTTTCCAGTGGGGAAGGGGGCCGGGAAACATCGAAAAAACAAATGTGGAACCCTTACCCCCCCCCGACCCGAAATTCGGGTCTTCGGGTTGGGTTGGGGTGGTCTGGTAGGTAGTCAGAATGCCTTGGTTTTGATCGACGGCGCCGAGTGTTTTGGGGGGGGCACCCTCGGGTTCGAAACGCGCCGCCGAACGTTCCCAAGGCAAGCGCCCGTGAAACGCGTTCTCTCAAAGGTTGAGCGGTCCACGCGGTGTCAGAAGCCAACGCCGACGTCGTCACGACACGAGCCAACCGCACAGTGTTACCAGTTGCGACTGGTAAGGCTAATGATCACACAAGGAGGAGGAGGAGGAGGAGGAGGAGGAGGAGGAGGAGGAGGTGGGGGAGGAGGAAGAGGAATTCGACGACGATGAGAACAGCGAGACTGAACATTATGATAAGGAGTGAAGTAAAAGGAGGGCGAGCGGGATGAATGGAGGAGCAGGGAGGTGGAAGAGGGGGAATGATGAGGAAAGCGGGGGTGATGGTGGAAATGTAGGGCGAGAGATGGTTCAAGACACGGCTCTTTATCCTCCTCCTCCTCCTCTTCCTACGCGCCCAGAAACCGTGTCAATGCTTCGCCCCTTTTATCACTCTTGGCAGCAGGAAGAGGAGGAGGAGGAGGAGGAGGAGGAGGAGGAGGAGGAGGAGGAGGAGGAGGAGGAGGAGGAGGGGGAGGATCAGGAGGGGGACGGGAAGGCAGAGGAGGAAGGATCAATACAATGAGTGGGAATGTATTCAGGGGCCCAAAAAGAGTGCCAAACTTGGGTCCCAGGGCAACGACGACGACTACCGCGGCGGCGGCGACGACGGCGATGGCGACGACGACGGCCAATACGACACCGACGACGACGGTGTTGCGACGTCGACGTTGCGGCGACGGCGACGCTCCCGACCCCCCCCCTCTGTGGCGCGTCCCAGGCAGGATGTCGACGCGCGGCCAGCCGCGTCCGCGAGGGCGCCCCCCCGAGGTCTCCCCCCCAAGACTTCGCCTGGAGAAGGACCCAACCACATGCAGCTGTTCGTACGGCCATTGTGAATCTCTTCCTCGGTGGCGCTCCCTGTGGGGCCACGAAACGTGCGAGGGGCGTGCCGAAATGGGTGCGGGGGGGAGGGGGCGTATGTAGAGGGTAGCGCTGGGGCCTTCGGTGGAAATCCCTATGCCCCCCTAAAAATGAACCCGGGAGCCCAGATGATGATGTTGATGATGCTGCTGCTGATGATGATGATGATGATGATGAGGATGAAGAGGAGGCGGAGGAGGAGGAGGAGGAGGGTGAGGAGGAGGAGGATGATGATGAGGATGAGGATGAGGAGGAGTAGGAGGAGGAGGAGGAGGAGGAGAAGGAGGAGGGGGAGGAGGGGGAGAGGAGAAGGAGAGGAGGAACAAGAGGGGGGAGCAGTGGCACCGCGACGGCGGTGTCGGGGATGGCGCCGCCGAGCGCCCGTGCCGCATCGGCGGGCCACCGAGAGCCGCCCCTGGCGAGGCGCGGCGGCGGTTTACGGCGAGCTAGGCTGTTGTCCCGCTCCCCGTCCCCCTCACACGCCTTCCCCCCCCCCCCCCGCCTCCTCACCCCTCCTGCTCCTCCTGCTCCTCCTCCTCCTCCTCCTCCTCCCCCTCCTCCTCCTCCTCCTCCTCCTCTCTCCCTCCTCCTCACCGCCTTCCCCCTCCTCCTCCTCCTCCTCCTCCTCCTCCTCACACGCCTTCCCCCCCCGCCTCCTCACCCCTCCTGTTCGTCCTGCTCCTCCTCCTCCCCCTCCTCCTCCTCCTCCTCCTCTCCTCCTCTTCCTCCTCCTCCTCCCCCGCCTCCTCCTCCTGCTCCTGCTCCTCCTCCTCCTCCTCCTCCTCCTCCTCCTCCTCCTTACTCCTTCCGACGAAGACCTCCCAGCAGTTGCCTCCCGAGACACGTTGGCGGCTGGAGGCCTGCGTTAAGTCGGGCGCGTCCCTCTGTCCCTCTACAGGAGGGATATCCAAAAATAAGCAATTCATAGTATGGGGACGAGTTTTGGACCATGTTTGACAATGTTGGAATCTTGTTTGATCATTTCTTATTTCTTCAATCGTTAAACATAGTCTGGGGACGATGTTTGGAGGATATGTGTGCTTTTGCATTAACAAGCGTTTCGTCGAAAATCCCCCTGTGCGTCGTCCGGCCTGGCAGTCGTGCTTCCTGTGCTGGGAACCGGGCGGCTCTCGCTCCGAGCCGGGGCATCCACGGGGGCCTCTTCCGGGCCTCCTGGGCGCCTCTCGGGGCACTCTTTGGGGTCGTCGTCGTCGTCGTCGTGGTCGTCGCGGTCGTCGTCGTCCTCGTCGTCGTCCTCGTCCTCCTCCTCGTCCTCCTCGTCCTCCTCCTCGTCCTCGTCCTCGTCCTAGTCCTCGTCCTTGTCCTAGTCCTTGTCGGCGGCAGCGGCGTCTTCGGCGGCTTCGTCGTCGGCGCCGACGTCGGCGCCGACGTCGGCGCCGATGTCGTCGCCTCGCCGTCCTCGGCGGCGGCGCTGGCGCCTCTGGAGCCTCGGGTGCCATCTTGGGGCCGTCATGGAGGAATTTCGATCAAAGAAGGGGGGGGGCATATGACCGCCTCCCTCCCCCCCCAGAGGCAGAAATGGACCCACAACACAATGATTGTTGTCTTCTCGACGAGGGCATCTTGAGCGTTTCAGCGACCCGCGGAGACCCCCTCTCCAGACCCAGGGGAACGGGGTAGTGGGAGGGGCAAACCCCTCCCACAGGGGGAAGACGGGGGTTGGAAGAGGAGGCCCCCTAAACCCCATCACGCCCTGAAGGGCTGGTCAGATTCTGGAGGCTTTTGTCGTCCAGTCTGGAAGCTGCTCCTTCTGTTCCGAGAGCAGGGGCTCGACATCCCAGCCGAGAGATTTCGCTCCCCAGGCCCCCCCGTCATGATTTCTTCATGACGTGGGCCCCCAGCGGTCTGGACCCATTCCCCGGGACAAGTTTTTCACCCTGACTCGTTTTCTTGTCGGCACCGACGGCCGGTGAGGGCCCCCAAGGGGCCGTAAGATAGCGAAACATTGCCCGTCGTGATGTTTGTCCGAACTCGAGGGGGTTTGGGGTAGGTCTGGCATGTCGCTCTACAGGAAGACTACCCCACAATAGTCAAAACAAATTATATGGTAATATGGAGACGCTCTCTCTATCATGTTTGACTGCTTGGGAGTCTGTTTGAGACTATGTTCAACTGTTCGTCCAAAATCCGCCCGTAAGGGGGACATGCCCGACCTAAGGTTTGGGAGGCGAGGGGGCCGTGCCTCCGCCCCGCGGGGGGCAGGTGGGCGGAGCTGCTGGGAGCGAGGCTGCTCGCGCCGCTGCGGCTCACGCTCGCGGGCGAGCCGGGCGGGGCGGCGGAGGCCGAGCGCCGCCGCCCCCGGCGGCCGCCGCTGCTGCGGCCCAGCGCCCGCCGCTCCGCTCTTGCGGGGTTTGCCTGTGCTTTCCTGTCTCCCGTATGTAGGACGGGGGAGACGGGAGGATGAGGAGGTCCTCCTCCTCCTCCCCCTCCTTCCTCCTCTTCCTCCTCCTCCTCCTCCTTCCTCCTCCTCCTCCTCCTCCTCCTCCTCCTCCTCCTCCTCGGCGGACGCTGCCGTGCTTCGCCAGGCCCAGGGCGGGCCCCGCCTCGAAGTGCGACGGGACGACGTGGGTCGTGGCGCTGCCAGCTTCTCCGCGGACGCCGCGGTGTTCGTGCCTCACGGCGTGGGCGACATGGGCGGCGGCGGCGAGGAGCTCGAGTACCAGTTCGACGCAGGCTCGGCCACGGTCCCGTCGGTCTGGCCTGGGCTCTGGGAGGTCTGCGAGTCCCTACCGTTGGTGCACGATGCCTGCTCGGATTATGTGGAGAAAGCCTTGTCCTCGACGCTGGAGGAGGCTGGCAGCACGGGATCCGCTTTCGTGTACGTGCTCGGGGTTGCGCCTGGTACTTGGGAGCCTTTGGAGAGCTCCCTCGTGGGCGTGGGCGAAGCGGAGTCCGTCATAGCAGATGTCGTGGACGAGGTGACGCACCTATCCGACGAGCAGTTCCCCGTGCCAGAGTCGCAGGGCTTCAAGTTCGCCGCCTCGCCGTGCTCGGTATTCTGTGGTCTGGGCGAGGAGTCGACGGGCTCCTCGAAGCGCAGGGGGCTCCCTCGCATTGAGCAGCGGGCGCCTTCGCCTCCTCGTGGTGCACCGTTCAGTTTCTCGCAGGAGCAGCTGTGTTCCTCAACGATCAAGCCGCCAGATCCAAACTCAGAGTGCCACCAACAGTGATCATCATCGAAGTGACCTTGCTCGAGGTCTGCCTGTCGGATGGTGGCTTCCGATATGGAGCGTCCTTCGTGCTGTACGTGTCTTTCGGCTTCTTCCTCGTGGTCTTCGTGATGCTCGAGGGCGTGCCGCACGTGGGGATTTGAGCAGTGCAGCGGCAATCCTCCTCCTCCTCCTCCTCCTCCTCGTCCTCCTCCTCCTCCTCCTCCTCCTCCTTCTCCTCCTCCTCCTCCTCCTCCCCCTCCTCCTCCCTCTCCTACCTGTGGTAGTGGTGGTGGAAAATGGGCCCATCAAAAGTCGGCTCTCGTCGCCACGGCTGGTTAGAGGAGGTAACGATGCCGAAACCGCTCGTCCTGGAGAGGCCTCGTGGCCACGGGCGAGGAGAAGGAGTCGGGGGCGGCGTGGTCGGAGGCGGCGGAGGTGTCGCTACCACCACCCTGGCCTCGCGCTCGCTTCTCGGACCTTCTGGAAGACCCACGGCATGCTGAGCAGAACACCGCGCAGGAGAGGTCCTAGAAGTAGCGGTACGGGCACCTCGCGTTTTCCCCTGGACAGGTCCTGCGGGAACGGGTCCTCGCGGTTTTCTCGCCAGTTGCGGGACCCTCCCCCTGGACAGGTCCTGCGGGAACGGGCCCCTTCCCCCTGCACCCTCGCCCCCCATGACGGGGGAGGGATCAAAGGGAAGGGGCTTCCCTTCGATTCGGTTACGACGTTGCGAGGTTTTTCTTTCGCTGACAGGCTTTAGGGAGGTGCAGGGAAAGAGGACGACGCAGACGACGACTGACGGAGACGACGGCTCGAACAGACAAACCTTTCGCACACGCCGGAAGGGTCGGCGGATTGGGGTATCGAGCTGTCGCTCGAGCCTTCTTCGCGATTTGTGCAGGGCGCACGCTTCGGCAACCCGCCTGCTCTGCCTGGCCGCCTGGGCCCTCCTTCCCGACCCGCCTGGCAGGGTATACCCACCCGATTTGCCCGTCTGGTTCTGCCACGTGCTTTCTTCTCCTAGCACCCCTCCTGCTACTTTCTCTCGTGCTCCATCTTCCTCCCTCCCCCTTGTCCCTTCATTCCATCCGTCCTCTCTTCCCCTGCCTCAGGGGCTGCACGAAATACACGCTGCAGGTAAGACATATGTACGGTCGAAAACGAAAAGGGTGGGTATCAAGGGTTTGTGATACACGTGTTCAATGGCACGCAAACAGGTAAGATCGAACAGTCTCAAACTGATTGATGTTGTTGGTGGTGGTGTTGTTGCTGCTGTTGCTGCTGTATTTGTTGGTGTTGATGGTGTTGGTGATGTTGCTGTGGCTGTTGTTGTTGTTGTTGTTGTTGTTGTTGTTGTTGTTGGTGTTGTTATTGTTGGTGTTGTTGTTATTGTTGTTGTTGTTGTTGTTGTTGTTGTTGTTGTTGTTGTTGTTGTTGTTGTGTTTGTTATTGGTGGTGTTGCAGTTGTTGGTGATGTTGATGTTGGTGTTGCTGTTGTTGGCGTGTTTGGCAGTATTCTAGTATTACTATTGTTGGTGGTGGTGTGGTTGTTGTTGCTGCTGTTGTTGATGTAGGTGTTGTGGTTCTTGTCGGCGTTGCTGTTTTGGTTGTTGCTGTTGTTGTTGTTGAACTCTCACTTCTGAAGAATGATAGAATAATTATTGTTGATCCCCCCCGTCCGGTGCACATTGTTTTTTCGATTGAAGTGCCCTTGCCGGGGCTCGCACCCTGTTTTTTAATCAGGGAAAGTCTTGAGGGTCAAACTGTGTCGTTGGCCCCCGGTTTACAAGAACAACGACTCCCGCCTGAGGTTTCCTCACAATTTAGCCAGGACCCCGCTCCCGCCCGAGACTTCCTTGCGTTTTATTCAGGAATCGCGCTCTCGCTCGGGACGTCCTTAGGATTCATGACCCCGGCGCTCTGGAGTCGCGCTCTCGCTGGAGACTTGCTTGCAATTTCCTGAAGAATAGCGCCCTTGCGTTGGAATTTCTTATACATATATCGGCGCACCGGGTCCGGGGGCCCGGGGCCGGGACCTCGACCGCAAATGTGCACCCCGGGGGGCCCGGAGGCTCGTCGGTCAGGCAAGACGGCCCAAGAAGCGCCCAAGACGGCCCAAGAAACTTCCAAGAGGCCTCCAAGAGGGCTCCGAGATGCTGAAGATGGCCTCCAGACGTCCAAGGACGCCCCCAAGAGGCCCCAAGAAGCCTCCAACATGCGTCCCAAGAGGGCCCCTAGACGCAAAAATTGGCCCATTCCCTTCGTAAAACGTACATTTTCAACAAAGTTGTCTTTTGGGCTTTCCGACGTTACAGGACGGCCCAAGAGGCGCCCAAGACCGCCCCAAGACGGCCCAAGAAGCTTCCAGAGGGCCCCAGGACAGCCCAAGAGGGCCCCAAGACGGCCCAAGAGGCGCCCAAGATGGCCCAAGAGGGCCCCAAGACGGGCCCAAGAGGGGGCCCAGAGGAGGACCACGAACCGCAAGCTCGAGCCTTCCGCCCCAAGAGGCCGCCAGGAGGCCCCCAGGAGGCCCCTCAAGAGGCCCCGGGAGACCCCAGACGTCCAAGGACGCCCCCAAGAGGCTCCAAGAAGCCTCCAACATGTGTCCCAAGAGGGCCCCTAGACGCAAGAATTGGCCCATTCCCTTCGTAAAACGTACATTTTTAACAAAGTCGCCTTTTGGGCTTTCCGACGTTACAGGACGGCCCAAGAGGCGCCCAAGACCGCCCCAAGACGGCCCAAGAAGCTTCCCAGAGGGCCCCAGGACAGCCCAAGAGGGCCCCAAGACGGCCCAAGAGGCGCCCAAGATGGCCCAAGAGGGCCCCAAGACGGGCCCAAGAGGGGGCCCAGAGGGGGACCACGAACCGCAAGCTCGAGCCTTCCGCCCCAAGAGGCCGCCAGGAGGCCCCCAGGAGGCCCCTCAAGAGGCCCCAGGAGACCCCAGACGTCCAAGGACGCCCCCAAGAGGCCCCAAGAAGCCTCCAACATGCGTCCCAAGAGGGCCCCTAGACGCAAAAATTGGCCCATTCCCTTCGTAAAACGTACATTTTCAACAAAGTTGTCTTTTGGGCTTTCCGACGTTACAGGACGGCCCAAGAGGCGCCCAAGACCGCCCCAAGACGGCCCAAGAAGCTTCCAAGAGGGCCCCAGGACAGCCCAAGAGGGCCCCAAGACGGCCCAAGAGGCGCCCAAGATGGCCCAAGAGGGCCCCAAGACGGGCCCAAGAGGGGGCCCAGAGGGGGACCACGAACCGCAAGCTCGAGCCTTCCGCCCCAAGAGGCCGCCAGGAGGCCCCCAAGGAGGCCCCTCAAGAGGCCCCAGGAGACCCCAGTCGTCCAAGGACGCCCCCAAGACGCTTCGCGTCACCAATTTCTTCTCGCAACGATTCCTGGGTCTGTGACTCGACAGAACCTAAGCGCGCGCGAAGCGCGCGCGTGGTTCTAGTATAATTTATTCAAGCGCCGCGCTCCCGACACCCAGGCACCCAGGAGTCGCGCTCACGCTTAGGACTCCCTCGCAGATTATTCAGGAATCGGGATCTCGCTGCCCTTCGTGGCCCCGTTGCAGCCCTTCGTGGCCCCCTAGCTTTGTTTCGTGGCCCCGTTGCAGCCCTTCGTGGCCCCCTCGCTGCCCTTCGTGGCCCCGTTTCAGCCCCCCTGTGGCCTCCTCGCTGCCCTTCGTGGCCCCGTTGCAGTCCTTCGTGGCCCCCTCGGTTTATTTCGTGGCCCCGTTGCAGCCCTTCGTGGCCCCCTTTGCTGCCCTTCGTGGCCCCGTCGCAGCCCTTCGTGGCCCCGTTGCAGCCCTTCGTGGCCCCGTTGCAGCCCTTCGTGGCCCCGTTGCATCCCTTCGTGCCCCCCTCGCTGCCCTTCGTGGCCCCATATATGTACGCCCTTCGTGGCCCCCGCTCGTTCGCGCCCGTGGTGGCCCCATATGTATCTGTCCTACGTGGCCCAGTTGCTACCCTCAGTGGCCCCATCGTTGCCTTCTGTAGCCCCGCAGTATCTCTGCCCTTCGTGGCCCCCGCTCATTTGCGCTCTTCGTGGCCCCATACGCATTCTCCTCGTGTCCCCGCTGTTGCCCTTCGTGGCCTACTTCGAGTCCTTGTGGCCCTGCTGTTGTTCTCTTTCGCTCTCGCTTTCGCTCGTCTTCGCCGTCGTCGTCGACGTCGTCGTTGTCGTCGTCGTCGCGGTCGGTCCCCTGTCCGTCCCTCTTGGGCTCGGGTCGACGGTCCGCGGCTGCCCCGCCGATCAGCGCTGCCGCTGGCCAGGCCGACGGTCCGCGGCCGCCCCGCCGCTTGCCGGGGCCCGGCCTGCAGGGAAAAAAGGTATACCCCCCAAAAGGGGTTCGATCGAAGACGAAGAGGGCGGGCATCGAGGGTTTGGGAAATAGGCGTCATTGGACACTCGAGCAGATAAGGGCGAACAGTCTTGACATGATTGTTGTTGTTGCTGCTGCTGTTGGTTGTTGTTGTTGTTGTTGCTGCTGTTGTTGTTGTTGTTGCTGTTGTTGTTGTTGTTGAACATTATTTATTCTAAAGAATAATTATTGTTGGGACCCCTGGTGCGCGGCCCCCTCGCCGCGCCTAGGCCGCAGCCACATTTTCATCACTTTCGTGAGGAAGTCTCAGGCAAAACGTGGGTGTCCGGATCCGGTTGTTTTGTTGTCCCCTGTTTTCCCTTGCAAAAAATAAGCTAAAGTGGACATTTCTTGTTCTAACATAACCAAACTTCAAGAATCCCTTGCAACAAATAAGGTAAAGTGGACATTCGCGCGCGCCAGACGAAATCCTTCCAAAACCTTAGTGTTCGTAGCGATTTCAACCTAAAAACATAAAAAACCAATGGTTTTCAAACAAAAAATGTCAAAATTTCATCCCGCGCGCTCTTGCGGATTTGTCGGAAACCCAACACTTTTTAAACATTTCTGTCAAATGGGCTTTTCCGAGCAAGTCATTGTGCCCATGCGCCAGTGTAGTAGCCAAGGTCGTCCGCAGGCCACGAAGTGAAGTGTCCGAACGTCATAGGGCGGGAAGCTGGGTGTGGGTGGTGGCGAAGAGTCGTCCTAAACTTGGTAGAGCTTGAACCGGCCCCCCCACAAAGTGGGGGTATTGCCCGCCTCCTATGAAAACCCTGGCACTGGTGAGAACGGAGTGTCCCCAGTC